TGTAAAATTTCCAAAATGGCGCCCTTGAAAATGTGAATCGTTGTCCATAACCAACAGTTATGCAAACTTTCATGCAAATCGGAGAAGGTTGAGTTTTTCCGATTGGTCATTTGGCGTGGAAATGCTCATATTCACAATAGAGAACACGACTTCTGGTTTCCGGTAAAGTTCCAGACATCTAATAATATTGGTATTTTCAGAAAAGTCAGTGTGGAAGCAATGTCAGGTATCTGATACTTAGATTCCATAATGGTGTCGGACATAGATTTCCGAGCTCTACTTGTCGTCTCCGTTCCTAAAAATTTTGGTGCCGTTAATATTATATTGGTTATTTATTACCCACATTGTAGAGTATGTAACACTTATTCGCACCTGGAGTTACCATATTGGATTCCTTAAAAAGGCATTGGACATTGATTTATTGAATCCATTTGTCACCCCGTTAAAAAATACCTTTTGCGGAAATTGGAAGTCACCTTATTTTCGGCCTCTGTACGAAGTCACAGCTCTAGAAATACCAATATTTTATAGGGTGTCCCAAACTTTCAACACTGTGTGTTGTTGTTTACATATTCTTCAACAAGTCGGTATGCCCAAAGGGCATTTTTTGTTAAAAATAGTCAAATGCGAGACATTTTTTCCTGTCACAGACATCCCCAACTTATCACTTAGGAATTGGCGAAAGTGGATAAAGTAAGTGTCAAAGCAGCCCGAACCACCATCAAGAAGTCTTATGCGTATATTTCCTTCCAGGACACACCAACTTCTGGCCGAAAAGAGGAACCTGTGGACCGAAAGATCATTCACACTTTTTCTAATTGAAGAGTGCCTTTGTTCGAGATTTGGCTAAAAACTGGGGACACCGATGAGTAACGTCCATCGTGTTAAGACAAGAAATAGACTAAAAACGTTCAAGAAACAGAAGAATCCGAAACGGAGTCAAAAACAGGCCGCATCCGACATACCGAAAAGGCTCGGTAGAATCTCAAAAAATCATAAATGCCCAAAAATATGAATAGGGGAGAATGGTATACAACGCACCCCCTGGGCAGAACGCATCAGCTGACTTTCATTTGTGTTTTTCATGGCTTTTAAGTAACTTTTTTGTTGTCTTATCAAGCAGCACTTCTAGCATAGCATCTGAACTCAAAATCCTGCATGATAAATCCTAGAATTGGATTTAAAATTCCAAGAAAAACTCAAAATAAAACGAAAAAGTGCGTCTTACCCCGGGGGTGCGTTATGTACTGTTCTCCCCTACTCCTAGCTGTTTGGACACCCGGCATATAAAAACAATTTTAGCTGTGGCCAATGATCATCTCCAAAACGATTCATATAGGCGAATTAAATATTAAAATCTTAAAAAACGTCACAAATTGGCCAAAATCATCGAAAAAGACCCTGTGCAAAAGATTTTGGACAGCGTTAAGTCTAAAGACTGGTCATTGGCGTAAGATTAAGAAAATTGCGGGATTAATTCATACAATTGCAAGAGTACCACTACAAAAAACATGTACATACATGCAATTATTTACACTGGCACTGATCTCGCATGCAGCAGACATGTAGATTCATTTTGAATTTTGTCCATTAACCCGTTAACGCCCAAGTCGTTGTTGACCTCCGGATAATGTGCGATTTTTCCAGGAATAACCCATGGATTATTCTCACAGTGTTGGGGAAATACCTATAAGCTGTGACACAGTTGCTCCACATATGCTAATACAACTCACCAGCTACAATTCTCACCAAACTGTGGTGAGTTTGAGTTTCACGATTTTTGCTTTACACCCGAATGCGTCCCAAAACTTCCATCACTGCTGGAAGCAGTAACTTCGTGTCTGCCATGGGTGAAGACTAAAGAGAGATATCAAACTATACTCTCTCTTTTGAAAAAAAAAACGATGTGCAAAGGAATCATTTTTGTGTCGAGTCAACTCTCAGCTACGATTTTACATGTTGTGAATAGCTCGCAATTTGAAAGGAGCTTGTTAAAATCAATGTAAAGCATGATATTTTGTTCCAGTGTCACACGTGATATTGAGAGCGAAAAAATAACATTCTGCTAATCATTTTGAATTTTGAACACGGTCGCTTAGACGAACTCAAAATTATGTAGAATTTTACTTATTTTGTAAAAATTGGGGCTACTGCTGAGTAACCGTTACTCATGAATTTAGTAAATGTAACTTTAAAATTCTCTTTCTCTATCTCACTGAGTTTTTGTTTCCTCCTTTATTATCCACTCGGGGTGGGGCTGCTTAGTGCTTATCTCACATATTTTATGCTCTTCAGGCTTAGAACCAAATGACCCCTTGCTTGCATTTTTCTCACTGGAGGTTGTGGTATGGAAAAGTAGTTCCTTAAACGAACGCTCAATTTTAAAATATTCAAATATGTTCAAATATGTATGCGTAAAAGTGAAAAAGACGAGTAAGACACCCGGGAAACATAATCCTCTTGGCTGCTAAATTTGTTTTAAAAACATTTCCCATTACACTTATTGAATGCCTGAATCTGAAGAAGAAAGTAATCCAACTCAATCTCTAGCGGAATTTTGATTTTTCTTCTCGATTTGATTTTCCGTTACGAAACTCAATCACTGTTTTTTTTTTAAATATTATTGCAGAACGATACTGCCTGTTCATCGGGATCTATTATTCATTGTTTGTTTGATTACACTTATTACTTTTGATTTTGCTGCTACGAAGCTTGGTTTGCTTGAGTGTTTGTGTATGTGTGATTGTTTTTACTATAATTTTGTTTGTTATAAGTTTTGATTATTACTTTCTTTTAGTTACGGTATTTCACTGCTTTGTGTTCACTTCTTTCGTTTTACTGTTGTCGTCTAAGGTAGAACGGTTAAATGTTCTAATGTTTGGTTATGACATCTAGCAGTTGTTTTGATTTTTGTTTTCTCAAAAAAACAACTCATTAGACTTGCGACTACCGACACCTGAATATTGCTTTTGCTTCGCTAAGGATCACGCCACCACGATCGCGGGACTGTTGAACACAAATGGGTAACCGAGTTTAGACATGAATTTCATCGAGATCGAACGAGCCCTGCTTGTCGAAGCTGGCCTGGTGGAACAGTTTGGCTCGGGACGATTTCTTCCGCGCACGACTTTGCCGTGCGCGGGCTTTTTGTTATGGAGGTTTCATGTCCTGCTGCATGATGCACTCCATACAAGAAGCGTAGACTGGCTGGTGCTGCGGTGGAAGCGGTTGAGGCTTGCGGTGGTGGTGGTCATGATCGATCCGGGCATAGTGTAGGTTGGGATTTTGATCGTAGTCTAGTAAGGTGGAGCTATCGACCGAGCGGGACGGCGTTAGGCGGTACGTTCGCTGAGGGGAGGAACTGCGGCTGTGACTTTTGGGGATGGGCATGGGACCTCGGTTGTGGTATCGTTCCGGAGACGGGACCCGACTATAGAACCGTTGAGGAGAGACTCCGCTGCTGCGACTACTGCGACGTTGCGGTGATTGGGCTCGGGAATGTCGCTGCGGGGAAGGACCACGGCTGAAGCTTTGCTGAGGTGATAGACCGTAGCCGAAGTATTGTTGGGGAGGGGATTGGGCTCTATAGTAGCCACGTTGCGGGGACGGAGCACGACTGTAGTTCCGTTGTGGAGATGGGCCGCGACTGTAGTTGCGTTGGGGAGAAGTGTTTCGGCTGTAGTTGCGCTGGGGGGAAGTTCCTCGGCTGTAGTTGCGTTGAGGAGAAGGACCACGACTGAAGGAAGCTTGCGGGGAGATTCCCTTGAATGAGGCCTGCGGAGATAGCGACAGGCCCCGAGTTAGAGAAGCTTGAGGAGAAAGGCCACGGGCATGATAGCGGCTAGGTGAGGGATCTCGGCTGTAACCATTGGCGGGCGAGCTGCTACGACTGATTGATTTGCTACGTTCCGCGGAAAGACTGTACCGTTTCTTACTCTCTACAGAAGACGTATCAAAACTAGTGTTGGGTGAGTAGCCGCAGGTCTCGTAGTCGTTGAGTGACTTCTTACGTTCTGTGCTTCCAACTGAAGCGCTTCGCTTAGCTCGCCGATGTCGCTCTTCTTTAGTGTTTTGGTAGATGTGTGGGTAGTCTTTTTCTACACCGAGATACTCGTTGGACATTGATAGGTAGCGGTTTGACGATTGATATTGCTCATAGTCGGAGGATAGGTTAGGATCGGTTTTGGAGGCGGTGCTATCGGAACTCTCGGATGGTTTACTAACACTGGGGCTGGAAGAACGCTTAAGGATTCCACCGACGACACCTCCGTTGGCAGTCTTTTTCTTCAGAATACCTTCGCCAGCTTTCTTGTTCGGATTCGGGCTGGAAGATCTTCTGGCCCGATCCGGACTCTTTTCGATTCGCACGTTTCGTTCGATGTCGATGCTATTTCTTGGGGACTTTATCTTGATTATTTTTATGGGGCTCTTTTCGCGTTCGACGTTCTTGCCGCGTTTGGGAGATTTAGACTTTTCAATATTCGGGCTGGAGGTAGCGTCCGGCGAAGAGTTCGCCGACGACGCACTGAGCATGTTTCTTGACTCGATTTGTTCACGTTCTTGTTTAGGGGAGGCCGTTTCCGGTGGAGGAGGCGAAGGGAAGTCCTCCGGAGAGGATTGCTTCGCTTCGTCTTTTGGGGAGCTTGAGTCGGATTTACTTTCATCGGCGGATTTAGGCGATTTGCACGAGTTAGAATCATTGGACTGTGAGTAGATGGTGGTGACTGTGTTCTGTGTGGAGGTCGCAGTATCTGTAATAGTCATTGTCGTAGTCGTGGTCGTCGAGGTCGGGGTCAGCTGTTTTCCCTGTTCACTTTCGAAGTGTTTTTCCTTAAGATCTTCCATGTACTGTTCGATATCGGTCTCGATTAGGCTGTCCAGGTTCAGATCTTTCAAGTGCTTATCCATAGCACTATCGGTATCGGTCTGTTTCGACCGGTTGGTTTTCGATTCAAACATTTCTACGACATTCTTATCACTACTAGGAGAAATTCGCTTACCTAGGTCCTTCATCAGCACCGGATGGTACGTGGCTGGCGGGTGGGACGACTGGATCAGACGGGCCTGGCTGCCGGTACTACTGACGGAAAGGGTCGATGTGGTGCTGCTTGGAAGATGATCGAGATTATGGTTTGGAGAGTTTTTGGCAAATGTAGGGCTTCAACATACCTCAAGGTCAGATGGTTCGGCGTCTTACCAAGAGATGATTTGGGTTTCACTGAGCCCTGCTGTGAGTCGTCTTCGCCTTCGGACTTGGTTCCAGGATCTGCCTTCTCGGGTTCACGCTCGCTCATGTTACGTCTGCAAGCGGCCACTTGTTCTGCATGGGAATTGGGAACTACTGTTAGTTTGTAAACAATTTCGGTGTGGTAGTCAATCAGTAGAGCAGTGAAACGAACCTCCAACGTCTCCAACGGTTTTGCTTCGCATGCGGAACTGTCCGCTGTACTGTGGCACTGGTGGATCATCGGCCTCCTGGCTGCCGGATGTGGTGTTATCGTAGTCGATGTTTCCGGACGAGTGACGTTGGTTGATCTTGGACTTCTTCGGTTTGCCGAGAGTTTGCGAACCCTGCATTATCTGTGGCTGCTTTGAGGAGAATGGGAAGATCTTAAACGGTCGTCTTCGCGAAATACCGGATATACGAACCTGTTGCTTTGGACGCTCCAAGGTCTGTGAGTTACCGGATGAGATACCGATGCCGGTCATCGAATTCATGCTACCGCCCAGGCCCTTCAGCGACGGGATCGACATGTTGCGGACACTTTCGCGGATGATCTGCCGAATCGTTTTCAGGAATGCGTTGCGGAAATCGCCGGTGCTGGTAGGATAAGAGAGAGAGAGGTTAGTTCCACTTCCCGCTCAGAGATTTTTGGTATAACAAACATTGCAAGTCAATATCTTTAAGTGGGCCCTACACGGTTGCTTTTATTGACAATAATCGTGTTGTCAATATGTACATTCAATATTGACGTCAATACATTGATATTGACAATATTTCTGCATTTACTTCTTTGACGTTTAGGAAATGCATATAGGTGTGAGTGCAATAATGGGGTAAGCTCCTTGGACACTATGACGTGTGACTGCAAGAAATGTGCAATAATAGGGTTTTTCTTTAGACACAGTGACGTCATATGGCAAGTCTATTCGCATCATCAATATTATTGTCTATAATTCCCCTTCGTGTCAATCAATTGATGAGTGTGAGGTTCGCTTGATATTATTCAAATATCAACGATGTTAACGTTAACCGGAGTTTCAATGAATGGTAGTCCATGATTCTAAATTTTAAACCTACTGCCTATGATACAACGTCAATTAATGTCATACCTTGCTTTGGAGCAAGCGTCCCACTCTATATTTACCGATATGATACTGTCCACCAGCCGAACGAGTCATCATTAAACTGAATCGGTAGAAACATTCTAAAGCTTATTTTAAACCGTATTTACTCCACAAAGTGTGTGATTTTAATTGCCAGAGCACGAGAATATGTTTCGGGATTATCTATGCCACGTTTTCTCATCACTCGTAGTTTCCGCATCCAACCAGCATCATGTCGTATCTATGTAATTATATAAAAACGGGTACCTTTCCCGAGAAACCATTTGTTGATTTCATCGGCCTTGAATAATCCCGTCCTTCAAGGAAAATAGACGCTTCTCTTCAGCTAAGCTTTGGCAGGTAGTGCGATAACATGGAATGAACATTTTCAATCCCCACTACGGGTACCGTAATCAAAACTATTTCTACAGATAGACATCCACCCACCACACCGGCACCGCCGTGGCGATTAAATCGCCTTCGATAAGCCGATTTAAATTAATAGAATTTTCTCAATCACTTTTTTCATCGTCGTTTCCCGCTTCACCAACCAGTAAACAACTAACCTATTCGAAAGCACGTAGACTTTTTCCGATCTTCGTTGTAGTTGCGATCTGAGATGGATCAACTCCCAGAGGAAGTGTGAGTCCATGTCCTTGGCGGAGGAAGCGCGCACCTGCACTTCGGTCACCGGAATCAGCACCTGATAGCGGATTATTTCCACTTCGTTGGTGGCGTTCTTGCTGGAGACACCCTGCGGAACCGATAGGAAGATTGGAATTATACGGAGTTATCTAGGCTTCGCAGCAAAATTCAATACTTACCATGAGCTTCTTCTTCTGGCGCAACCGTTCCTTGCACAGGAACACTACGGCCGACTTGAACACGAAGCACATGGCGTGCAGCTCGAGGCCCTTCTTGATTTTTCCCAGGAAGTCGGAGATGTTCAACCACTCGACGCCTCCATAGTACAGCAGATCACCTGCATGGGAACAAAAGTTAACAGATCCATCCACCCAGAGATCGGCAGCGTGAGCCATCTTACCCGGACTGAGGTCGATCGGCTGTTTGCAGGACTTCTGGTGCTGACGGAACAGGTGATCGAAGATGGCACCGTACTCTTCGTGGATTCGTTGCATTTCGTTGATGTGCTCGGCGACCTTTTCCATGCCTTTGAGCGCCTCGACCAGGTGCAGATGTTCGGCTGCGTTCGGGTCGGTTAGGTTGCGGAGCTGCTGCAGCAGTAACGGATACTTGAGGATACGCTGAATCGGTTTAATGAGGAACGACTCCAAGGTACTGCTGTGCTGTTGCTTTGGATTGCGAGCGACCAGGAACTCCTGGAGGGCTTGATTGCCTTCATCTGTAGGGAATCGATATGGTTAGTCTTTAGAAACACAAGCTTGGAAGCTTGCAATCATACTTGGATGTAGAACCTTCTGCGCTTTGCTGTGACTAGCGCAGAAGGAGGAATACAGCTTGAAGTGGTTCACGTAGTATAGGAAAGCTGACCCGATGGCAAATAGGACATTCTGTAAAAAGATTAAATGAATTATTAAACCTAGCCTGAGTCGTTTAAGAAAACGTCAAATAAGCACCTTAAATTGACTAGGATGCTCCAGTTGGTGGAATTCCGGTTCTAGGTCAAGGGCTTCCTCCAGGTTATTTAAGAACTGCCGCTGGAATGTAACAATCTCCTGAATGTTTCCAAACAGTGCAGTGATCTCGGCGTTTGATAGGAATGTTTCACGCTTCAGGGGTTCCAAGTAGTACTCGAGCAAGTTGTTCAGGTGCTGTTCCCAAAAATGCATTATTAGTTGGCGAATCTGTCAAAGACCCACAGATCAAGCTTACCTTAACGTAGGTTTTCTCCGTGTCGACCAGCTCGAGTATGACCTTGCGCAGCTTCTCCGCGTCGGTCAGCTGACGTGATGGGGTAAGCATGGCGTTCGATACCGACGAGGCAACCGAGCCGGTTGGGCTAGATTTGCGAGTTTCCTGCGGGGACCGGCAGAAACCGGTGACCTGTTCGGCTGATTTGAGCAGATTTTCGATCTCGAAACTGTTCGTACGGGAGGATTGCTTCGAGCGGTCCATGTGCGGATCATTGGCGGATGGTACCGGGGAGCTCTCGATTTCTGGCGAGTAGACCTCTTTGCCTGAAATACACGAGCGTCCTTCATTTGCAGAAGAACAGTAACATCATGTGGTCATTGATATTCAATGGTTACAGAGTTCCAGTGACGGAAGCTCTGTTGTTCACATAGAAATTTTGAGAGAACAAGTCGCACTAATGTGGAGAGAAAGATAGACTTACGCCAACCGGGAGCAGGAACGATAAGTCCGGAGATCATTTCCTCGCTGATTACCGGTGGATCAGATGGCGGCGGAGGGCACACCAGTGACTCGATTATATCGTCTGTTGACCGCATGATTCCGACTAGGTCCGGTGGTTCTGTACGTGATGATCTGTTACAACAATAGAAAGTTTTTATTTGATTCATGTTTCAACAGACGCCTCATGACCCACCTCATCATCATGCATAAGGCTTGTTCTTCTTGGAGCACGCTTTCCAAGTACATCATGTCCAGATCCGAGACGATTGCGCCGTTTATCACAATTATTTCATCACCCTTGATGACTCCTAACGATCCGAGATGTTTTATTAGAATCGTATAACCTGAAAACAGCTCCAACGGACAACTTACCATTCAGTATAGCCAAGCTCTTGTCTTCGACGCGGCTGACGTAGCAGCAGAGTTCATCCTGCCGATCGGCATTCTCAATCAGTTCGGCTTCGACCGAGAATCCCCACATTTGCTCCAGGGTGGTTCGTTGTAGTTCTACTTGATACAAAATTTTTGCGCAAACCTCAACCATTTCGTGAGTATGTAGCTGCAGAAGCGAAACAAACCCGTATTATTGTAATTCTGTAATCTATGACATGATCACTTACATATGTTTCGATCAGATCATTTCTATGAGGAACAAAGTAGTTGTGATCTTCCATTTCGCGACGCTTCTTGACTCGCACAAAGTGCTCCATCGGGTTGAGATTCTTGCGCTGGCAGGCACTGGCCAGGAATTCCTCCACCGACATACCCTCACGTAGGTACACCGTAGCCGCCGAGTTCTCTGGCAGGGCCACCTTGTAGGACTTTTCCTGCTCGTCACGGGTGTTCATCTGCATCGACCGACGACTGGAGCCACTGTTCGAACGCGACAAGATCGGTGGACGCCGCTTGGTGGCTCCACGTCCTGCGAGCAGATTGTTCAACAGCGACGGTGACCGAGCACAGATGAACGCATGGAACGAGGAGACCGTAAAGACGCCCAGTTTGTTCAGTGTGTTCTTCGTGGGACGCGACACGTGCGTTAGGAGAGACTGTGAAATCACATTGATTAGCAATCAACCAAAGAGCTAGAATGGTCATGACCTACCTTAGGATTCGGAAGCTCTCCGTTCTGCAGCGATGACATGTAGCACCGCAGGCGGAACTGTTCGCAATGTAGCCGCTCGAGATTTTCCTCCCACTGAAGAATCTGCTGCTGAATCTGGTGACGCGTGTCATTATCGGTGACCACGCTTTGCTGCAAATCAGCCATATGTTTCAGTTTGTGATCCTGATTCGAAACCAGATCTTATGAGTATTGTCAACTACGAAGAGTCTTAACAATTTCAACTTACCGATTCTATTGCTTTTTCTAAACGGAAAATCTCCTCCTGTAATAAGTGCAGGGTACCAGTCTTACCACGATGTCTTGCAAACGCTGCAGCACAGGCACTATGTATACTGTTGACCCAGTTCTCCAGTTCGACCTGGCAGGGCGCCTGGAAGAGGTACGCATCGCCGAACGCCGTGCTCAGACAGAAGATGTAGTCCCGCTTCGGGTGCTCCGGGATCGGCTGCATGATGGCACCGTCAACTATGATCAGGTGCTTCGGGGCAGCCTCGACCGAGCGGCCCTCGCGCGAATCGCATGGATAGAACAACAGGGTGGTACCTTTCAGACAGACCCAGTAGCCCTTCCAGCCGCGCTTGCGGGCCAGCTCGATCTGGTGCTTCTTGCGCAGGAGCCATTTCTTGACCGAAAGGAATCTGAAAAGAAGGAAGGGTAAAAGTCAGTGACCAAGCTCATTGGAGCGAAGATGTGGGGAAGGGTGTGAGTGTGACAGTTATAACTGGGATGTTTTGAAGGTAAATCTGCGCTTTGTAAATTTGGTAATAAACGTTTTCTCATCTTCACGTTTCATTTGAAATGAAGCGGAAAAGTTCCTTATTTGCACACTGATTTGATCTTCAAATTTGTGCAGAGGTGGAGGGTCCACCCAGGGTGTAATCCTTAAAGGGAAGACTCCGATGAAAATTATTTGTGGCAGTTTATTAGTTTAAAATGCCAACATCAGACATTTTGTGCGATAGATGAGGAGATGAAAGTATAGAATTGATAGTTCCGTTATACGGCAGTGTGAGAATTGTATATTGAAAATAGAAAGCGAGCAAAGGACAATTTTAAGGAATGTACGAATGGTGGAAGAAGGATAGTGAACGGTGTTTCCTCCCGCCACCATTGGCAAAAGGAATGATCGCCGATTTGCTCATGTATTATGTAGGTTCTATCCATAGTTACACACTCAAGTCGCCATCTGACGTAAGCATCTAGTCGATGGTTTTGAAATTGCAGCTAAGGACTGTATCGAAAATTAGTTGCGAACAAATTTTTCTTTTCAAATCCATAAAAAATACTTTAAAATAAAAACAGGTTCATTAATTGTTTACTAACATGAGAGCCTTAAAGAATATGTTTATAACAATAACCATTAGAAGAGCCTAACCACCAATTCGGGGTATCATCTCAACTTTATGTGGTATGGTCGTACCATCTATGATATTGTTAGTGTATGGTACCCGTTTATTAGGGATGGCACACATAATCACACAATTTTTGTTATTAAAAATATCTTTGACGGATTTGGAAAGAATATTTTTTTATAACTTGTTTTCGATACAATCCTTTTTATTTTACTCTACCACTGTCTGTGCTCCCGTCATTGTCAACTCAACGACCTCCACTCATAAAATAAATCACATAACCAGTGGAAAATATCCATGTGAATTTCACATAACTTTCATGTGATCCCATAATTAGAAATTGCACCACTAAATCACATAACGTTCATGTGTCCAATGAAATCTATATGATTTCTCATATAGAATTTCTAATGATATGTGATATTCAGATAAAAATCATTATTTTTGTTCTTGAAAAAATATTATGTACGTTCCTCATAGAAACTAAGTGAAAACTTTTTTCGGTGTCAAAGAGGCACGGGTAGCGCTGGTTTAGATAAAATTCAACACAAAATTTCACATTCTAAGGACTGTTCAAGTTGTAAAATGGACATTAAAAATTGTCTGTAACGTTTTAATTTTCCATTGTATTCGTATTGTTTATTCAGAATATGTATAGAATCTATAATACTATAGATTATTATCCAAACAAAAATAACACTAGTTTACAAATAGAAATAACAAAATGAACTTGAATCTTTGACCAAAGATTATTATGTAAAATCGTGCGCTGAATCCAAAAATGTAGTCAAAAAAATCTCAGTAGGATAGTTTTTGAGATACAGGTAAAAAATTAGAATTTAATTTAAAAAAGTTTGTTTGCTAAAATACATATATCTCCGTTTGTAATGAGACTTTATCAATTATTTTAACGCCACGTTAAAGGTAAGAAAATTTTATGAAAAATTAATGAAAATTTCTTTCGATCAACTGAACATCAATTGTCAGTGAGATTAGTGGTATTGTTGTTAATTAATAGTTTGTTTATTAAATTTTTATATTTTGCATTTTTTCCAGAAAAAAATTAGTTTCTGCTAAGTTTTTAAGCAGTGTAAATAAAAATGTTGGTAGTGGTTGTACCACTAACCTCACTGCAAAATGGTTTTGAAATAATCGAAAGTAAATTTCATTATCATTAGATTGACTTTAAAATAATTAATATAACTTCATTACAATCGGAGAACATCCGAAAGAGATATTTGTATTAAAAAATAAAAAAAAAATTTTTTTAAAGTTTTTTAGCTATATCTCGAAAACTATCCTACTGAGATTTTTTTGAATTTTTTAGGATTCAGCGCATGATTTTACATTTTGGCAAATATCTTTTGCTGATTATTCATAAAATGTTTAAGTCAACTAATAAGCAGACGCCTTGCAAAAAGTTAATGAAGATCATGTGTCAAATGAAAGTGGTCACACATACCGTTTATCGTCGATCACGCAGTTTGGCAATGTACGGATAATGACGCCGCCAGAGAGCGACTTTTGAATACCCATGAGGCCCAAGGAAGACAACCCTATATCCCTATCAGAGACGTGTTGGGAACCCGCGATATCTGCTATATGCAGTCGATTTATGTGTTTCTGCAAATGACTAGTAGGGAACAGCGCTACTTCGTCGTAATCGCCCATTTCCGTTCTATCGAGCAGAAATCATCAATAATAACAATGATTTCACTGTGCACAAATCAATAATACGTTTGTTCCGATCCGATAAATTGGCCTATTATAGCGCATTGTATGAATACTTGCACTCATTGTTCTCAAAACAAAAGAAGCGCTCCTAACGAATCCACTTTTTCTACCATCATCCGTAAGACGAAGAAAATCTAATGGCGTTTCAATGCGTTAGGACGGAATTGAATCTCGTTGGACGAATTTAGAATCAAGAAGCAGTGTTAGATTTCTAATAATATCTCAACAATGTTTGACTCTTTATCAAATCAAACGATGCTTATGGAAAGGTGAATAAATTTATTTTTTCCTTTATTTAACGTCGGTCTCTGTTCCGCAATCTAGTGCCAATCACCGACGGACATCGATTGCCATCCATTGACGGCAATCGAATGTGCAGGAAAGGAGCATCCACACCTGCGTAGGATATCGCACCCATTCAACACACATGGGCCGGGACCAACGGCTTTACTTCCCTTCCGAAGGACGTGACCAGAGATTTTTATGCCTCAGAAAAATCCCACCGACCTCGGCTGGGATTGAACCCTGACCCATCGGGTTGTTAGAAAGCAGTCACGCTTACCACTCACCACCGGCGCCGGCTGGTGAATAAATTTAGAAGTTATCTTTTATGAAAACATTCCATGTTTTGTTAAAAACCTTTCAAAAAAGAGAGGTAAAGTGCGGGATGTGCTTAGTAGGACGGAAATTAGATAAAAATCCTTATAAAAATTTAATTTCTTTGTCTTGAGAATTAAGTGAATTTTGTTACAAATAATGAACAATGAATTATTGGCTTCGTAAAGCATTTGCGATTGAGCCTTCCAATTCCAAACGAACTAGATAAAAAATACCGTTTTTGCATTCTTATAGCAAACACATTAGTAAAATAAATAATCTTCGTTTCGTTTAGAAGCCTTTAGGTAAAATAAAATTATTCTTCAGATTATTTGATTAGAACAAAATGTGATAAAAAGATTTAGTCAGAAGGAAATTTATTTCATGTGTTTGAAATGTGCATATTCAACTCTAATTTAATGAAAACTGTCACTGAATAGCTAAAAGCTTACGGTATTAGGATGTATCCTATTTTTGGAGATATTTTTCCTAAGTTGTAAACGTGGGACGAACAGTTACACCGAAAACTATACAAAATCATACCAACACTTTGTTTTACGAAATTTTTATTTATTTTATTTGGTGTGTAAGATTTTTAAGAATAGCTGAAATAAAAAAATATCTGGCTTGACACAACTGCAAAATTTATCCCGGTGTTCAAGTTATATTAACATGAGTATACAAAATGCATTTTAGAGCATTTGTGATTTCGCAAAAATTACATGCTGCTTTGTTTACTTTTTTTATGTTGCTTATATGTATAGCCTAAAACTTGTCGAAATCATTAAGCTAGGTAGTCAAATAAAAAAGTTGGGACTAAAAGTGTGGGTCCGTTTTATAACTTGAACAGTCTTTAGTGGAAATAAGATAGAATTAATAAGATTTCTGTCCCAAAAGCCAATGATCCCACTTACCCCCACGAAATAGAAACTTGTCAATGGTAATCCAAAAGGGAACACATTTTAATGTTTTTCAAGTATGAGTGTATCAGTTTTGAAAAACTCGTCTAAAAATTTGTTTGCTTATATCTGAGTTGGACCAGTTCAACGGGTTGCGACCTACCATTGTAAATTTTTTATGGTTATTTACTATTCAATGGAAATCTATTATATAAATCCATTCATGTAATGTTGTTCGCAAAATCGGTGTATATCGCAAAGCGTAATATTACACTGCCTGCGGAACATAGATCACCGACAAACCGACATGAAACTTAAACTTAACTCTTGATCGAGAATCCATAACCACCGGTTCAAATGTGCAGCGATACCATCTGTCAAAACAATAGAAATGTCTTATCTAGAAAAAAATAATTTGTCCAAAATAGATTAGACGCGAACCAACTCATAAATTTTGTACGCGTGTTCATGGCTAGAATAAATATTTTCCGCGAACACGGCGAGATGTCAGTTTTGTGCTTTGATCAGAAATTTGAAAATTATTTCTCTAGCTAATAAATTATCACACTAAAGCTTCATGTTAGATAGCATTTCCAACCAACTCTGAAAATCACAAACTTTGCGTATGAAGTACCATAAAAAACTTTGAATGTAACAACTCAAGGCGGGAGTAGCCGTCAACAATGCTGATGATGGTACAGCACGCAACAAACCACCCTACTGCTTTCTCTCTGACATGAACACGTTGGTCATGACGAGAGGAGCAACACAATAGTTGGGTAAAGAAGAATTGCATTATAACACACCACCCAACTAACATTTTCAGCTTTATAAGCCAACTTTTCCAGCATTGTGCTGTGAAGTAGCTGAAAAACAGCTGCAGATACAGCTAGAAGCAGTAGCTAGCAAAATAGTTTTGCAGAGCGTTTACTCAACTTTTTCACAACGATTATTCAATTTGTCAGTCGCACTGAATAACAGCAGCCAATAATCGCTAATGTCACTTCTATGCAAATATTAATCAGCTTTCAACTTGTAGCTGCAAAACAAAGCTAA